GGATCTTGGGCACGCACGCACATGTGCCCGGCGTGAGTTTTAAGCCACCGGGTCCGGGACGCGAACTGTGGTCGACTACATGGGAGTCCAGCGACATAGCCATTATGCTAACTGCTGGCCCCTTTAAAAATTTTTAAAATTAATTAATTAATTTTCCTTATAGGGTATGCACTTTCACTGGAGAGAGACAGAGAAAGGGAAAGTGAAAAAAATCATTCCCTGGAGGAGATGGCCATACTGCAGTGCCATCTCTTCCATTCTCCTCTTGGGATTTTGGCCACCCCCACGCATGTGCCTGGCATGATTTTCGAGCTGCTAGGTCTAGGACTCGAACTGTGCTTAGCCATATGAGAGTCCAATGCCTTAATCACCACTTCACCTGGTGGCTTATTTTTTGTTTTTAAATTGGTGATTGATTCCAAAATCATCTTCCCTTTAGGACTGCTTAACTACATGAAGAGTGCTCACCAGTCTGGGATTATAAATAGCCCTCTACCTTGCCAGGCTTCTGGAAAGGATGTGCTCTTGAGCCCGGGGAGAAGTGGGTAAGATAGTGAGGGTGTCTCTGTACTTTATATAATCATAGCTGCAGCTCAAAGCATGGGCCTCACTGATGGTTGGTCAGCACATTTTATGGACAGAAAAAGCCCATCTGTTCTATAGAATTTCCTCTTTAAGAGGGACCTCAGTTGCATTTACTGCAATGACTCATGGAATGCAGTGCAGTATTCCCCTCCAGTACATACGTCAACTCTAGTGAAATGCCTCCAGGGACAGAAGTTCACTATCTCACAAGGCAGCCAGTTCTCTTTCTGACAGCTGCTGTTTTAGAAGGTTCAATGTAATGTTGAGATGAAGTCCATTGTCCTTTGTCTTCCACAAAGGCAGTCATATATGTCCTGGGTCCGTATGTCTGTGCCAAGGAGCTTCACATGATTGTTCATAATGCTTCGATAGTGGTGCCAGGTGGAATTATCATGTGCATTGTGCAAGTGAGGACCTGGTGCTGTGTCATCCAGATTCAGTCTGGCTAAATCCAACGTCTAGGCCCATTACTTGACACTAGGTATAATTCCTATTTCAAATTTGTGTATTTGGAGAGGCCTCTTCAATTCCTCAGTTTCCTCATTTGTATCTTATATGGCATGCTTTCCAATATCTCAGAGTATGTGCGCTCTCTCTCTCTCTCTCTCTCTCTCT